ATTATTCTACATTTCAACATACCTCTCTTATTTCTCAATTGTTGAGATTAGGAATTATTTTATCTTAGCTGCTAAAGTGTATATATGATCCATTTGGCTTGTTACAGTCATATTTACATTTTTTAAAAATGTTCTTCCTAACAAGTATATGGTCAACAGAAGAGATGTGAAGAAAAGGTAAACAACCCTTCAATGGTTATTTCAGAGTATTTTTCATAGTCTCTCTGAATATGTAGAGAAATACCAGGAAATAAGGGGACAAAAGAGTAAGCAATATTTTGCTAATAAGTGTTGACATCCCTAGCAAGGAATACAAGGGATTAAGTTATCACTGAAATCACTGCTGAAAATGTAAACTTTATTTTATTTACATTATGCAAAATAAATTTTAAGATCTGTGCTTTGAAAATGTTAGAATAAAAACATTTTTATAAGAGAAGTCAAAATTTACCTGAGAAGGTGGCAAAAGAGGGGGCTAAATAGTTTTATGCTTGATTATTCATGTAGGAGAAATAGGAGGTTAGAAATGGTAGGCTTTAAGGCAGCATTTATCAAACATTTATTACAGACCTAGCACGCTGCTAAAAACACCTTATATTTACACTGACAAGTAAGTAAGGAGCACAAAATTTTACTGGCTTTGGTAAAACTGTTCTCATATTACGTTTTGAATTAGATGGAAGGTTGTGAATATTAATTGAATTTAGGTGAAAGTTGCAAAAAGTAAGAGACTATAACCCCTGCTAAAGGACAAGAGTCACAGACGCAGCTGGCAGATAATAATTCAAAACAATGTTTGTCAATATGTTCAGGCTGCCCTTCAAATTGAGGTTGTTAAGAATCAGTATTTGAGAGGCCAGTGGTGTTTTGTGCGATGCAGAAAGATCATTCACTCCTCTGAAAGTCAGACTCAAAAATAGCTGGTAGCACAGAGCAAACAGTTACTGGAATCCCTTCTCGTCTTTGCCCTGGGAGAAAGTATCTCAGAGACATACATTACACACCTTTCTGAAACTGTGAATTGCCATCTAGAGAATTATCAAGCGTTTCTGGAATCTTATGGGCAGATTCCATCGAGGGGTGAGGACACATGACTTAGATATCATTATATCTCTGTCTCTTCTTTGACACCATTGAGTGTCTGTGCTCTGAACAATGATAATTGACTCACCTGGTCTGTTTAACAAAGCTAATTTATGTTGGCTCCCATAAGTAATCCTCTGTGATATCTTTAATTCACTACATGCTGTTTCCTGTTCTACCATCAGATTTAACTTCAACTCGTTTATGTTAGAGATCTTATTCTGACACAATCATCCTCAAGCTGTTAAGCAAATTTCTGTCACATTAAAAGCTAGGCTACTTTTTCTCTAGCTCTGTTTAGTAATTGTTATATACCTTAATAGTCTTAAAAAGAAGTTTAAATTTTAAATAAGTGTTCTTTAATTTAAGGGTTTAATTTCTGGTGATTGTACAAGCATCTATCCTTTAAAATTTTTATTTATTTAATATTTTGAAAGTTTTTTGCTTTTTATGTTAGTATTTGTATAACCATTTAGCCTTAGTATGGATGGAAGAGAGAATAGAAAAAGTGGAGGCAAACGTGTCTTCATACTCCTTTAAAGACAATAAAAAGGAAACGTATACTGTTTTGTTGTATCCATATTACCACATTCCTTACTGTTATCTGTCCTTTTTGTGTGATGCCACCTTGTCTTATCCTAAAAACAGAAATGTATCTGGTGGGTTTAGACATATAAAGATCACTCATAATAACTTTCCTGAAATAATTATAAACCACTTGAATTCAGAGGGGAGTGCTTCATATATATTTTCATTTTTTTTCTGAAATTTAAAATACCTAATTTTCAACAGGTGTTTCAAACCGTGAGCTGAACATAGAGCTAGCTTTTTTAAAAAATAAAACTTTGTTTTATTTACAATTGCTTCGTTCATAGATACTTAAGAAATGGATCAAATAAATCTATGTTTTGCCTCAGGGAATATAGGTGAAAAGGAAAGCTTCAGCATTATATTATTCTGAATTATTGTTTAGGAATGTTTAGACTGTATTTTTTCCAGAAGAGTGATTCAGAGGGCATGTTTTAGTGTCACACCACCTTCATTCAGGCCCTAGCTTTATATCTTTGAACTCTGCTCTTCTCTCCAGAACAGCAGTGAGAACTGTACTTACTCACGGGGATGTGGTGAAGAGTGAATGAGATAACTTGTATAAACCTCTCAGAATAGTGACCATCACCTAGTAAGCTTATTACTTACACAGTGAATTAGAATATGTGTTAGCTATTACTTACACAGTGAATTAGGAACCACTAGGAATAAGAAAAGGATAATAATTGTGAAAAAATTAACACTTCTTGTATCCAACCTGAAAAATCTGCTTTCTCACAATATATGAAACTATACTGATGTAGACCCGTTAACAAGAAAGCTGGTAGCAGCTGTTGTTCACTTATATATCTGAATTTGTTTAAACATACTGAATTCTTTCCAGCTTCTAGGTGATGTTGAGAATCACATCACCAAGGATGTTGATGGAATGGAAAGGAGGAAACTACTGTCTGGGACATGTGAAAGCAGGTTTGACAGCCAGAGAGTGGCATCAAACTCAAGGCAGGTGCCTCAGGGAGAATGCCAGAGGAATGTTGGCTTAATACAAAATGTAAATGCTAGGGCCTTGCTGAAATATATCAAAATACTACACAACGCTGTTCTCATTCAGCATTTCCTAAGAACCTGCTAAGGGCCAGAGATTAGGAAATGTTGACTGAGAGCAGGCTGCTCTCTTTGGCTTTTCATATGGTTCAAAACTTACTAAGTGCCAGGGCAGAAGGGAGGGAATACAAAGCTTTAGTCTTTATGCTTGAAGAGCTCACAGTCTAGTGGGAAAGGGACCAGTACATGAATAAATATTACACAGTGTAAGGGACCCTTACTTATCAAATGCTGTGGGGACACAGCCAAGAGAAGCACTAACTTTTTGTGGGAGAATCAGGGGAAGGTTCACAGAGGATGTAAGAAAGCACCATTTGGAGAAAAGGAGAAGCACTTCATAAAGAGAATTGCCTCTGCAGGACCCAGGGGTTTGCCGAGAGTGCTTGCTCTGGCTAGAGAATAACAAATGAGGCTGGTAAATCTGGTGGTTTGGATCACATCATGAGAGCACATTTCTGCTATTTTAGAAATTGGAATTGGCTCTTTGGACAATGGAGGTCCTTCCAAGAGTGGTTGCATTCCTAGAAAAAAATCTCATTACCACTGTTGCAAATATTTGTAATCTGTTTTTAGAGGGAAATATAACAAAGTAACAATCTGCATTTCATTGAAATTGTATAATGCTAGACTTTGGAAGTACACTTTCTTCAAAATCATACCTAACAGAGAACAAATAAATAAAAGCTTTTGATTTGACTTTAAATTTTACCTTGTTATGCGCTTCATTCAAAAAAATAGTGTAAGTGGGAAGTAAATTCACTCTTTTACCACTAATTTTACTATTTGCCCCTACTTGTCTTGGCATACATTTTATTAGTATGCATTTTATTAGGGCCTAAGAATGTTTCTGTAGATGACCAACTTCCTTCTGAGTTCACATAAAGTTATGGTGCCATCATTGCTTCATGGCATTTTTTAGAATGGAAAGAAGTTCTGAAGTTTACCTGGTCTAGCTTCTCGCTTACAAACAGGATTTTAAAAAATTATATCATTTTCCAAAAAAAGAAAAAAACCAAAAACCTCATAGCCTCTGCTTGAATACATTTTGAGATAAGGAGTTGAGAGTTTCCATTTCTTAATAGCTAGTTCTTAGAAAGGTCTTCTGTATAATCGAATTTCTTAGGAATTACAATCCGGGGGTCCATTTCTGCCCTCTGGAGACTAAATAAGTATAATTCTGCATCTGCCCGATGACCCTTTCAATATGTCAAGATTGATATGCCCTCTTTTCCTGTCCCTTTTGATACTTATCTTTAAGACTTAAGAAATGCCTCTGCTTTCCTCAGTGCGGCATTACTTTCAGAACTATATCCAGAAGCTATACTATATAATATGCCTCTATCCCTCTCGAGCTAGGCAGCTTGTAAGTCATTTGAGTGCAAAATGTTACATCAGCTCTTTATCGTTTTATTTAGATTTGGGAAAAGCAGAGAAATAGACAGTTATTTTAAATTAAACGTTAAATTGTACACTTAAAACAGATGGGATTGGGATATGACTACATCAGAGATAGTATTTGCCCACTCTTTCTTTAACAGGTGTGCATACCAAGCATCAGGGCTTAAATTGAGTTAGAGTTGGAATCACACTCTTCTTTAAAACATTTACAACATTCCAATTTACTTAGACATTTTAAAACATTACTTAAACAGATTTGACGCCACTATTAGTTATACTGCTGAGCCTTAAATTCAGTTAAGGATTGGAAGCTGTGGGTTGAGGTTTGAACTCTGGGTTGGTTATTCTCCTGATTTTGCCTATGGGACAAATCATGCCGACAATTTCTCACACCTTTTTTTTTTTTTTCTCGCAACTAAATGAAAAGCTAACAAAATTAAAATTTCCATCTCCCCACAATTCCTTGGCTGAGATTTTAGGCCAATTGGGACTGTGTATGGATTATTTTAGACACCATTTATTGTGGTATTTCTGCTGGATATTGAAGTCACCTACCTTAGGCGCCTAAGACTGAGTCACAAAAATCCTTTATTGTTGTGTATATTCTGGTTGACTGATGTTGCACAGGATTTGAGTTTGGAGTTTAGACTCCAGTAATCATCATCATAGTAAGCACAATGGAAAACTGCTTTAAAGAGTCATGTAACAAAAGGTGTAACCAACTTTTGATTTGCAATGCTTGAATTCTCTTGAATGTCATTTCATTCTTTTCTGAAATACAGGATGAGGCATGACACTACCAAATCACAGTCTCATTGTTGGGTATTTTCTGTGTAACATAAGCTTTGTTTTTGTTTTCTCTAAAGGCGTTTAAACAGAAATCACCTTCAGCTGTTTCCTGAGTTGCTGTTTCTTGGGACTGCGAAGCTATACAGGCTGTAAGTAGACACAAATAGTTATTGTTGCTTTGGGTAGTACCTTGTGTTTTATTAAATGTATTTTGGATCTGTTTCTGTGTGCTTTCCTGGAATCTATGCATCAATAGATTAATGGATTAAAAGTTTGTGTTTTTTTTTTCTTTAGGAAATTTATGATTTGTTTTCTAGTGGTTGTTTTATTTGGTTAGGATTTAGCGGTTGATGTATGTGATACGGTAATTGGATTATTATTGTTATTTTTGGTAATGTGATGATGGCAAGATTTACCTACTTTTTAATGGAAATGTTTGATTAAGTTCTGAAGGGAGAAAATTGCTACTGTGCTTCCTCTTAAGAGGAAGCTGGCAGTGTGTTCTTGTAAAGTTGAGATTTTTAATGTTAGCTTTTTTGGTATTGTTTCTGGGCTCAAGTAGTAGTGTTTATTAGTCCGAAAATATTATTATAAGGTATTTAAAGAGGGCTGTAAATTTCCTCTTAAATGTTTCCTTTAAAGCCAGAGTTTCAGCCTCTGCAATATGAATGACTGTATGGCAAGGTTTTCATATTAAATACGTCATAGACTATTAAAGGAAGTAATTCCTTAAAGGAGCATAATGTGAGTATTAGGGGGAATCACTTTTTCCTCCCTGGAATGCTTTTGCACTGACCTAATGTGTAATAGTGAAAACACATTTTTGAAAGCATTTAAAAATGAGATTTTCAGCCATATGAATGACTTTGTGCAGATGGGAGATAAGCTACAAAGCTTTGGAAAAATAAATAGCAATGATTATTGAGGTACATGCATGTTGTGAAAAAACTGCTGGGATGTATAAATTGCTCCATTAGCCCCCACCTGGATGGTGGGAGTCCCATATGGTACTATTTGTAGAGAAAGTGAGCATATTTCCTTTTTCTGAATTTGTCTTTGTAGCCTACTAGTTCAATATAGTTATCAATTCCAGAAGTAGGAGGACTGTCCTCTCACACCCTTCACCCCCAAGAATAGCCAGGATCTTTGTTAATGTCCTCCTGAAATCTTAACAACCTTAACTTACTATGGGGAGGTATTCCCCAGCTGACAGACCAGATCTTCTCTCCAAAGTCTTTCCTGACTTTGTTCCTCTAAGGATAGTTAAAATCACCTGACATTTTTCTCTCCTTTTTTGTGTTCCCTGCTGCTCAATTGGCCCAATTTAAGTAAATTTAAAAAATCAAATAAAGAAACTTTGGAACTGCATTTTTAACAAAAATTATCTAAGAACTATTTTTACTAAGGAAATAGGATGTAGGTTTGCCATAAAGATTATATGTATGCATATCAGTAGATAATTATATCTAAATATTTGTGCTTAGTTTCTAAAAAGGGTCATAGAATTGGTTTTGATAGTATTTCACTTTCAGCTTTAGTTATTGTTGACTGAGGAGATTTTTTAAGGAATCGACTTGGATTAATTTCCCCAGTTTAAGGTGGTTTAATCCATTGCAGAATCCTTCATCAGCAAATTATATTCTGCTTGACATTTTGCCCTCTTTGACAATATTACATAGGAGACCAAGAGATTTTTTTTTTATCTTTTGTTATGATTTTATAACTTTATGCAGCAGCTATATGAAAAAAGACTTGAAATCTTTAAGTGAATTAAAGAAACAGAATCCATAAACCTATGACAGCATTTCCTAATTAATTAAATGCATGTTGGAAAATGGGGACACAGGCAGCTAGAAAATGTGTTCAGATTTTTTAATGTGTCTTTCTGGCTCAAAGGATTTGTCCTGGGGAGTAATAACAGCTAAAGCAACGTTTGTTAGGTGGAACTGGTTACAAGATGTGAATATTTTTATGTTTCAGAAGTTATGTAACTTGATGGCCTAACATTCAATATTGACGAAGTGAATCTCTTTACGTGAGATTTGACATCAGATTTAGGCACTAGGTGTACATAGAAAACTAGAGGTGGAATTTTTATTTGCATCTTCAAGTCAGGAATCTTAATTTGAGTTAAGGAACTGTTGCCTCATCTGAATTAGACTTGGGTGAATTGTTAAGAGTACTTTTTCTCTCGAAAGGATAAGTTATAAGCTGCACGTGACCAGTTCATGATGGTGATTATTAATTAAATTAAACAACTGCCATTGGAAGTCTTTAATAAACAAAGGAACACACACTTGTGAAGCTGACTACTGGCTAGTGTAATTATGAAAAGCAAGGGTACAAGTTCACATTTTCTTCATATAATACAGATGCCTAGTAGCTCACCTGAAACAAATATTCCAGCAGATGGGAAAATGTGCACAAATCTATATGCACAACATCCTTTATAATGCTCATTTAAAAACATAGTTTTTCCCAAGAAGGACAAGTAACAGAACAAAGGATATGGAATTTTTGACAAATAATGGGGAAAAATGATAGGACAAGGAAAGTATTTGATAGTTGATATATGTATGATTGTTTTATAAATATATATAAAAATATATAAGTATATATGATATAAATATGTTTATAGAATATATATTTTGACATTTGTATAATATATATATTTAAACATAATATATTATATATGTAATATAATATATAATTTATATAATATATTATATATAATTTATATTTATATATAATATACATTTTTATAATTTATATATATAAAGCAAGCCATATTTGCCCCTACTGTCTAATGCAGTAGAGGCATACTATATGCAGAACTCATAAAAAAACAAATTTAGGATTTACTTCCTCTGTATAGGTTGTTCCGAGATACGAATTAATATTTCAATTTCTTTATTTTCTTAGTTATTGTATACTTTATTCGTACTTAACACTATGTTTTCCCAGGTTTATCACTAATTTAAAAGTCTACTGGTTTAATATATAGTTTATACACTGAAGTTTGGTTTTTCACATTGTTGGCTTAGATGAGAGCTTGTTGGATATACTGGACCTTGTGTTGCTTTTCTTTGAGCTTTGGAATAAATAATCACCATTTGACTAGTGGCTGAAAATAAGATACCAGGGGAAGAAGCACACATGCTTTTCACAGACTCTGAATGCAATATAAAAGAAAAGGAGGGTATACTGTATATGAATTATGATTCGACACGCTTGGTTGCTGCTAGCGGCCAAATATGCTTTTCCTTTGCTGTCTGCTCCAATTTCTCTTTGGACGGGTTGAGAGAGCACTACATGTTCAGGTCAAGATGTTTGCTCAGAAATAGTAGTACAGTTGCAGCTGTGTTTGTTGGAGTAGGAGACTAGTTTAAATAGCATTACCATTTATCCAGTCCATTAACAGAACTCTGTAAAATAATACCAACTCTGCATAAACTACAGGACAGTGTAATAAAATTACAAGCACTTGTTGACAGATGGAAAGTGTAAGTAAAGGGAAACTAAAATAAGGGACGATAGGTTGGAGGTTAAAAAAAAAAAAAAAAAAGCCTGCATGAAGTTTTCTTAACTTATAGACTCTATCTTCCCCTTTGCTCCTCCTCCAAAATCAAGGTTGCATTTTTTTTTTTTATGAACCTAAGAGAAGAGGAAATTATTTTTAAAGAAATCTGGAGCTGGTTAACTGAAGAAGAGATTGCAGGGAATTTTGAAACAGTTAATTATGATTGATTGAAATTTATGAGTACTAATACAAATCTTCCTGAAAAGTGTAATCTTAAAAGAGGCTTAGGAGTAAGTGATTCACACTTTCTGTTGAGTTTGCGACTACTAATCTGGACTCATTAAAGAGGAATTTCATTGGTAGTACTGCGGTTAGACATTTGGTTATAAATATTTGTTTTGTGGTTTTCGGTTTATTTCTTTGAGTATATTATATTTACTGAGACTTCTAACATAAGCTTAAGTATCCAAAGCACTTTTTAGAAACTCATTTTTCACTTTTATCTGCCAAACCAAACCAAAGCTAAACAAACAAACAAAAAGAACTGCATCTGTCCCAAGGACTCATTTTCTCTACTTTGAATAAAAACTTTTTACTTCTGGTTCTCAAGTGCCATTCATTATTCCCCAGTGAGTTTTGGAGTGACTAAATTATCTAACATTAGGAATGGTATTTTTAAGGCCCAGAACTCTCTTTATGGCCTAGTGAATACTTACCTGAGACAAATAGATTTTGACTGCTTGATTTCATTGGCCGGGTCATAATTCTTTATCTGTCAGATAGGATCTCAGATTCTCAACATTGCTTTTGATAACTATAATAATTGGGACTTTCTTTCTTAAGAGGAAAACTTAATTTTTTATTAAGGTAATAAATTAATTTGTTCAGCATAAAAATATATATAATTAAACTGTCTTTATTTTCCTTTCCATCACTGCCATAGGAGGAGCCTTAGTTTTTGTTTCTTTAATAGTTATAAGAGCAACACAAGTTCATTGTTAAAAAGATTTAGGAAAATCAGAAAAAATAGAAAATAGGAAGTAAAAAATATCTGTTATCTCACTACGCAGATATAGCCATTACTATACTTATCAATTATTATCTTAGAATTATTTTTATGATTATGCATATAAATGCTACTTAGATGCGTATTATGAAAACTTTTTTTTTTCTAAAACCCCAGGGTCTAGTATAAGGCTTGACCTTTAGAAGCTCTCATTAAGTGTTTGATGTATTGAATTAAATCTCTGTTGGGTTCAGGATTTGTAACTTGAATGAGCAAATAGTAACTCTGGGATAGCATTATAAATAATGGAGAACCAAATTAAATTTAAAGGATAACTTGGTCAATTAAATGTTTGATCCCCCTAGGTTCCTCAAACATTGAAGTGTTTCAGTAGATACAACACAGTCAAAATGATCCATTTTTCACCTAAGCAAAATATACCTTAATTTAATAAAATGTCATATGAAACTAACTCCCTAGCTCTTGGATGTCGGTTTAGTCTCATAGGTTTCTTGGAGTCAACCGTAAAAGCAGGATACAACAGAGGAGCCCGTGTACAAATTTCTCTTGAATTAATTTCTGCCAGCTCTGATTAAAGTGTGGACTACTAGAGAGGTGTCAGG